TGCCATCCCACTTTTCCATCTGCATTGAAAATGTCCCGGTTTCTCTCTTCTCCTCCCTCTTTCCCCCTTCCTCCTCAGCTTCCTCCAATTGCTGCAAATGGGGTTCAAAGCATAAAAGTAGTTTGTGGTTATTGTTGTTGTGTATCTTCAAACCATTTCTGACTTGTGGCCCTCCTAAGAGCCAGTGTGGCATAGTGGTTTATGTGTCAAACTACGACTCTGGAGATCAGGCTTCAATTTGCAGCTCAGCCATGAAACCCACTGAGTGACCTTGGGCAAGTCACATGCTCTCAGCCTCAGGGGAAGGCAATGGCAAACCTCCTCAGAACAGATCTTTGATAGGTTCGCATTAGGTTTGCCGTAAGTTGGAAATGACTTGAAGGCACACAACAACAACAAGAAGGCAACACTATCATGGGGTTTTCTTGGCAAGTTTCTTCAGAGGGGGGTTTCCTATCAGCATCTTCTGAGGCTGAGAGTGTGTGACTTGCCCAAGGTTACCCTGTGGGTTTCATGACCAAGCACGTGGGTTTCATGACCAGAATCAAACTCTGGTCTCCAGAGTCATAGTCCAGTGCTCAAACCACTACACCAAGTAGTTTGCTTCCCATTAAGCAATGGAAAGGGAAGGGGGAGATAAGAGATGGAGCAGAGTCCTGCCCTACCCAGAAGGATGAGGCAAAAGAAAACTGCCACAGCCTTCCTTGGAGGTCTTTAAACAGAGGCTGGATGGCCATCTGTCGGGGATGCTTTGATTGGGAGTTCCTGCATGGCAGGGGGGGTTGGACTGGATGGCCCTTTTGATCTCTTCCAACTCTATGATTCTATGATTCTATGAGCCTCTTCAACATATCTCTTCTTCCCCATTAACAATATTTGCCATCTTGACGTCGCTCTGCCCATCTCTGATGTTCATCCCTAATGTTGCTTGACCACACATGTCCCAAAAACACAGCCTCCAGGGCCTGGGATTCCTTGATGGTCGCCCATCCAAGTCCTCAGAAGGACTGACCCTGCTCAGTGATGTCTGTGATTCCAAGATGCTGTAACCGGTGCCACACCGAGCATCCTTTTGCACAGACTTAGGAGGCAAAAGGAGGCCTGAGCCTTCTCCTTCCTGGCGATTTTGCCTTTCCCTTCTCTGCCCCCATTTCCGAGAGAGGACCCCCATTGCTGCTGTTATGGGGGGGGGGGTTAGATGTTGGCCATGATAAAGTGAAAGCCGCCCCCCCCTCCTCTTTCCAGCCCAGGCATCTGGATCATGTCGGCAGAGAAGAAGAGGCCATATGTGGGCTTGGCTGGGGGACTGGATGGGGAGGGAGAGCAAGGCATTCACTCCATCCCTCCATCCCTCCATCCCTGCATCTCCGTAATTGGGAGCATGTGTGGCGGCTGGAGGCGCTGATGGCACGAGAGGCATGCCAGCCTCATTAAGCTGGCATGGCATGTTGGGCAATGGCTGCCAGCCTCCTTTGGGTGACACGAAGGAGGCACACACTCCGAAGCAGCACTGAGATCGCATACCTGCAAGCCTGCTCCGACTCCCGGCAACCCTATCAAGGAGAATTCGTGGCAAGATTTGTTCAGAGGGGGTTCGCCTTCACCTTCCTCTGAGGCTGAGAGTGTGTGACTTGAACCCAAAGCATCGAACCCTGGTCTCCAGAGTTATAATCCAACGCTCAAACCACTAGGCCACGCTGGCTCCCTTGGAAGCTCTTTCTAGCTTGTACCATTTCAGGGGAGAACAAGAGAATATCGGACAGGAGTGTAAATTTGCACGCATGTAGTTACACATTGCTGGTGCCATGGCACGCTTCTGCTGAATGCCAGCGTTGTGCAACCCAGGGTGTCCCTGCCAATATGGCTGCGTCTTGTCCCAAAAACACATTTTTTGGCTGTTTCAACATTTCCAGAGAATGATAGAATCGTAGAACCAAAGTGCTTATTATTATTATTATTATTATTATTATTATTATATAGTGGAGTCTCCTTCCTTGGAGGTCATTAAGCAGAGGCTGGATGGCCATCTGTCGGGGATGCTTTGATTGGGAATTCCTGTATGGCAGAATGGGATTGGACTGGATGGCCCTTGGGGTCTCTTCCAACTCTATGATTCTATGATACTATTATTATTATTAATTATAGTCATGGAGGGACTGCCCAGAGCATTTCCATCTGTTCTTTTCAACCTTAAGCGCAGGGAGGAGCAGGTTGTCCCTGGCAGGCAGGAGAGTGAGGCAGCCGCCTCAAGGGGTTGGATTTGAGGGTGTCACAAAAGGGCAGCCCATGAAGCGGTTTCCTCTGGAGGAAATCAGAGGAAAGCAATGGCAAAATTCCTTGGAACAAATCTTCCCAAGACAACCCTACGATAGGGTCGTCATAAGTCAGAAGCTGCATCTGCACTGCAAAAATAATGCAGTTCGACACCGCTTTAAGTGCCAGGGCTCAGTGCTATGCAACTCTTGAGATATGGGTTGTTGTTTTTTTGGTTTTGTTTTGTTTCTGTTCCTAGCTGCCTCGAGGTGA